GGCAAGCTTATTATAAAAACATTTTCAGAGTATACAGAGTAGCTTAAAGAATGTAAAAATCATTAAAATTCCATTATCCAGAGATAATCACTTTTACCACTTATCTATACCTTTCAAATGTTTTTCCTCTATGCATTCATTATGTATGTTGTGTATGTGTGATTTTTAAAAAATCTAAAGTGATTCTATTTCAGTAAAACAGTCAGTTTTACTGAGACACACCTAAAACACTCTGGTCATCTTGCTTGACGAGTGAATTGGCAATTTGGATGGTTTTTTCCACTCTCACTTAGCTGTATCGTATTAGTATAGTAATCAGCACAAGCAGAACTTGAGAACACGTTAGTGAGCTAGTGCCTTCTCAAATGTGTTATGTAGTAACCCAATGAGCTTGTAATGTGGTGATTAATAAGGTACAGTTTGTAGCTCAGGATTTCTTACTATATGAGTTCTTTTTCTGGCTACTAAAAATTCAACTGAATTGTCTTTAAAAATGAACTCTTCCTTATTGAGGGAACTCATTTCATTTACTTTCTCTAGCAAAGTATTTACACCCTTGCCTGTAAGTAGGGTGAATATATAATTTTTCATTCAAATTGGGACATTTTTGAGAATGAAAGGGACACTGCAAATATTTTTAAATTCTATAAGTTTAAAAAATATTTTTTGGCTATTAAAATGGTTGTATTACATTGGTAGAGCACCGAAACAGTTCTATTCAGTCTGTTTTCAAAAATAAAAATTTCTAAAACATTTGTTCTATATTACAACAAAATAAAGTCTTTATGTTGATTATCAGAATATTAAACAAGCAGAATAATTATTCTTGGTAATAATCATTTTTATCAGTTTCCTAGCCATATCTATTTATAATATTATGTTACTATACGCTTCTGAACAATGTAATTATTTGCCAGTGTAGTTTTAATTGTTTCATAAAATTGTCTGCAGTATTTTTTAGTTACATTTTATGGTTTGAGGTTGTTAACACTTACAGTTGACTCTTCTCTGTAACCATTAATATTTTTTTTAAAGATTTTTTAATTTATTTTTTATTGGGGAATTGGGGGGATGGGAACAGTGCTGGGGAATTGGGGGAAGGGGAACAGACAAGTTGCTATCGTTTTGTTCCTCAGTCTAGTTGTGGAGGACGCTCTTTCACTGGCCCAAGTTGGCACCATCATTGCGCTCTTCCCTGGCGAGGCACATCAGTCGCCGGCTTCTGGACAGCCGCTCACTGCGGCTGCTGGCCGCTCATGCTGGCTGCTGGCTACATATGGTAGCCCATGGCAACCCACTGCCACAGGGGCTGCAGGCTACACTGTCGCCGGCGACTCAGGCAGCCCAGCTCCAGGTTGAGCTGCTGTTCAGCATTTTAGCTGTGGAGGGCAGTGTCACCGGCCCTCATATGTGGGATCCGAACCAGGGCCCTCTGGTGTCCCAAGCCAGTTCTTAACCATCGCGCCACTCGGCCGGCCCACCATTAATATTTTTAATTGTTAATATACTTTATATATTGTGATGTACCTGGTTAGCTCAGGAAAAATTTTGCTAAATGGAGAACATTCTTAATTCTATTTTTTTAAATTGAAAACTATAAATTTATCAGCCCTAATATTTTCACGGGAAATGTCTTTTTGTCTTTTTTAAATAAGGTACCCTTTTTGACAAATACTTTTATAGGACAAATCTTGTCATATAAATTGTTCCTATTTATGATTATTTTACATGTTTCATTCAATGTAGGCACTGCAAAATTGTAGGCTTTCTGTAATTTCATTCCAGTACAAAATATAATTTTTTCCCATTAAAAATAAGAATACTCTTTTGGTAGAACTCCGACGATTCATTACAAAAGTGCATCATAGAATTTCAAAATTAAATCTTGTATACAATTTGAGCTCTCATCATTTAATTTGTTCAGTTCTTCCCTTGGTTTTGAGGGACATAATTCCATGTCTTGGCAAATGTTGTTTTTACTAATTGGTATTTGCAGCTAGAGGTTTTTTTTTTTTAGCTTTACTTGAACTTGAATCTTTGATTAGAGATTTCCAGCTCATTTTGAACAAAATGCAATCAATTTTTAAAAAGATTCAATACTGACACACTTAGGTTGGATTTATAAGGTCAAATTTTCAAAGATTCTAGCCTTTAAAATCTGATGACAGCTTGCAAGTAGAGCACACACACTGCTCTGTTGAAGTTTCTTTTGTTGTTGTTTTTCTGTATTCAGTGGCATTTTTATTTTTAAAAATTTAACTGTGGATATACGAAAAACATTTGTAAATTTTGACAGTTGCGGCTAACTCATTAACATTGATGTCACTAGAGCTCCATTTTAAATAGAAATAGCCTCAAAGGTTTTATGCAAATTGTCTGTCTATCCATTTTCTAGAGAAATGAAAATCTAGTGCTCCATTTTGTATTAAATATACAATTTCTGCTTTTTAGCTCATTGCTCCTGAAAGGGGTTATTGGACAATAAAAAATGATTGCCAAACAACAAAATAAATAAACGATTGTAGATTTATAGCATACAATAAATGGCAAAACCACAAAACTACATCAAGAGTTACCAGACTTCACTCCTTGCACATACTCATGCTTCATCTGCACCTAACCTGGAATTTCCCACTAATGACTTAAACCGGCTGATGGCCTGGTGCATCTTGCAGGCTATTTGCACATGTCACTACTGACTGGCACGCAAATAGCCAGCAGGAGCACCAGTGTCAGATACTTCTTGCCCTGTCTCAAAAGGCAGGCTATCAGGAGTTTAGATGTCCATGGTTGCTTGCATCTGAGGATACTTTTCAGTGAGTCTTCTGCATGTTGTCCTTGAGAAGAAAGTGGCAGTTGTGTTGTATCTGTAAAGAATCAGGAAAAGAAAGACGGAATTATCACTAATTCTATTTCAGATTTCATCACTTGTTCAAGTGGTTAAAGCATTTACACAGTACTAGCTGATACCTTGGCTGGGAGTTAGATGTATAAAATAGAGGTGTACTGAGTCCATCTTGGTTTATTTTAATGTAGTGATTAATAATAATAGTTCATTTAAGAAAATGAGAAATCTGAGACAAATGGTAAACTGGATGGGATGCTGGGACAATAGGTTGTAAATCAACACTGTCCTGAGCAAACCAGGGCATATGGGAAACAGTATGGTATTGTGAAAGAGCGTGGAGCTGGAGTGGGACCGACCTGCATTTAACTGCAGTCTGCCATTGAAAAGCTTGGACAGGTAACCTCTGAGACTAGGTATATTAGGGTTCTCCAGAGAAACAGAACCAACAGGTATACCTCTCTCTCTCTCGCTCGCTCTCTCTCCCTCCCTCTCCCCCTCCCCCCCCTCTCTATTTTAAGGAATTGGTTCATTCATTTGTGGAGGTTGGTAAGTCCTAAATCTGCAGGGCAGGTGAGCAGGAGGGGAACCCAGGGCAGAGCTGATGTTGCAGCTGAGTCTGAAGGCAGAATTCCTTCTTCCTCTGGGGACCTCATTCTTTTCTCTTGAGGCCTTCAACTGATTGGATGAGGCCCACCCACATTATGGAGCGTAATTTGCTTTACTCAGAGTCTACTGATTGAAATGTTAATCACATCTAGGAAAATACCTTTATAGTAACATTTAGACTGGTGTTTGACCTGCAACTGGGTACTATAGCCTAGCCAAATTGACACATAAAATTAGCCTTCACACTAGGTTTCATTTTGCAAACTGAGATGATGATATGTGGCTCACATGGATTAAGTATTTATAAAGCACTTAATGTGTTCTCACAGTAGGCACTCAGTGAATGTTGGTTTCTTAATCTAGTCTTGAACCATTAAGGCTATATAGGCTTGATGCTTGAAGAATTTTTCCCTGTTTATCTTTGTATTTTCTAAGCCTCCCCTGCCCCCTCATCTACTTAATAAGCCCTTTTCAATCTACCTTATAAACTTTTCTTCAAACCATATCCTTCTTTTCTGCTGTTTCCAGTGTTCAGGTTCTTTACTGGGCCATTAAAATTATTTCCTAAGTAGCCCTCTACATTCCATTCTACTTTGCCTCGTCACATATAAATAATCACCTAGATAAATTAGTAACTCTTGAATTTGTTCCCTTTTCCATCCTCATTTTCTTTACTTTTACCATGGCAGATGAAGCCTATCCTAAGTTGTCTTCCGCAGAACCTCACAGTCTTATCTCCACTATCACCATTTAGAATTCCTCGTGGCTCTTCTCAACATAACCAGCTTTCTGTTCCATGCATGTCTTTGTGCGTGCTGTTACCTCTGTATAGAATCACCCTCTTCCCCCCAACTCATACTTCAAATTCCTGCACTGATATCCCCCATGAAGCCTTCCTGGACTCCCTTCCTTGTTCCAGAACACTCTTACACATTCCTGTATAGGTGAAGCTGAGCCTTCAAACACTACTAATACTCCTAACTGCTTTTCAGATGAGATAGTACATCTGTTCATCAGCTGACCAAGGAACCCTTTGAACTGTGGTATGAATTGAATGGCATTCCCTGCCTATAAGCATTTCAGATCTGATGATATCAGTGTCATCTTTGTACATGCTTTCGTATATTCATTTTGTTATTTTATTGAAATGGTTTTTGAATTGTATTCATAGCTACTTTGGATACTTCGGTAGAGGGTGAATGCTTAAGGCTTTTTGGGCCTTTCAACTGTCTTTACCCAAAGCATTTCACACCTAATTTGTTATATGTTGGATTTCTGGGTAAAATTTTGCATGAGGAAAAGAGTTCTGATGTCAAAAGTAATTTTTTTAATTCTTGTTTTATTTCTTGTACTTGATTCTTAGTAATCTACGGGGCTGCTTTTATTCACTCCTACCTTCCCCCCTCAAAAGAAACAAAACTAAACTTTTTGAAGTCAAGGGTATTTTAATCCTATTCATCTTTATTTTTCAATGATCTGTTGAATGAATGCAGATATATTAATAGAAGTTATTGAATAACATTTAATTTCTAATTATTTATTTTAGTTATCAAGTGGGAATCCTGTATATGAAAAATACTATAGACAGGTAAGATATTTGTTTGTCTTCCTGGATTGAATATAAACTATACTCTCAGCCCTTGATTGTATACATGTAGATTACCAGCCAGCTGGATCAATTTGACATGTTTTGTTTTCAATTTCCTGTGCTTTAGCCTCCTGCTTTGAGTACTTAATGCTTTTGACAAGCTCTCAGAAAAATGAAGGAAAGATAATTAAGCCCAAACACTTAATTGCCTTAAATATCTATCTTAAAAAATCCATGTAACATTAGAGATAGTCATCCAGATATAAATACCCAAATTAATGTATAAGCCAAATGGAAATGACTTTTATGTTGTGTTTAAGACTTATTAAAGTTTAATATTTACAAAGTTAAAACCATGATTCTAATACAAATGTAAAATGAATGTGTGTCAAGGATTTTATTCAACTCATTAGTTACTGGGATAACCAGTAAGATGTAAAAATGAGAATATGAGGTATAGAGATTTATATAGAGACAAAGTTCATTTCATTGGGATGGACAGGAATCATTTGCATTGCTATCAGTTTTCTATAATTTAACCGGTATTCCTACAGTACCCTAGTTGATAGAAAGTCAATCAAGGGTGCGTACCGTGGATGAGATAATCTGCTGAGGGTGTAGACATTCTCATTTGCCCATTTACAAATACTAGATAATTTTTCCTAATAATCTTCTCACCTGTGATCATCACAGAAAAGGCTGGTCTCATTGTATCTGACCTGGCTACCTACATATTTGCAGCAAGTATTAATGAACCATTATAGGTCTCCTTGGGTGTGATTTGCAAATCTACAACCATACACTCACTACTTAACTTGTAAGTTCAGAGAATTAATTTCTGCCTGAAATGTCTATAGAATTTCAGATTGGACTTTTTAAAGCCTTGTTCCTCTAGCTTGAGGCTAGGATGCAAACCTTAGAATTTCCCGTTCCCCAACCCCATGTTTCACCTGCAGTAAAAATAAATTTGAGTGAATTTATCTTATTTTGAGGTTTCCCATACCTGCTAAGGTTCCTAGCCTGCTAAGTGACCTTGCTTTACTATCTGAGAGACTGGTTTGCAGGTTTTTTGGGGAGGGCTTTGTAGACATTTGGCTGCACATAAAGTCAGTCAGTCCTTGTTCCTTAATAGTGGCTTGTTCTATCTGAATAAAAGAGAATCATTCTTAAATATGACCTTGTTTTGTACAATCGATTTACTCAATTACATCCTGATAAAAAGATCAAATTGTTATTTAACCTATGTAATAACTGTATTACCACAAAAAGTAAGGTCATTCAGTTAAAGGATTTGTTGTTTAATTCTGAAGTCATTGAGAATCAGATACCATTGAAAACTATTTTATTCACTTTACAAACACAAAGCCTTACTAAACTGAGGGTTAGAGATAACGTAAGAAGAAAAAGAAAGGGCTTTCCCACATATCCATTACAGAAAAGAATATTAGAAATAATACCAACAGTATTCCAAGTAAATAACCGTAATTAAATTTTCCTCAACAATTCATTCAGTCTTGTGTAATTCTTGTTCTGCTGCATCTTGGATCAGGAGTCTGTTTTCATGAAATGTATCTACTTCTGGAATGCAAAGAGTTTCAGATTCTGACTTAGTCCACCAAGCAGTCTGAAAGTTGTCTGAATAATGTCAGCTGAGAAGTCTTTACCCAAATGTCTGTATTTTGAAGTGTTAACAATTCATAGTAGGGGTGTAGTCCTGCATGAGGCTCTGGGGCTCTTTGTTGATGACAATTCTAGCTGGTAGCTTATGGCAGAGCCTTTAGGCAAACATCAGAGAAGACAGAAACTGCCTATAGATGACAATGACTAAATGACTGTGTTTAATTTATTATAGCAACCAAAAGAATGGAAGATCATAAAATTCTTTATTAGAATACAGTACATAAATATTTCATAAGAGTTTGATTAATGTTTCCCCTGAGTGCCTCTATGCTTAGACTATGTTGGGGGTAGGTAGCTGTTCTTTTTTTCCCCACCCTGGTCAGGGAGGGGGGTGAAAAAGGAGTTCTGGAGAATTCCAGAGGCAGATTTCCCAACCCTTTTGTACTTCCTGGTTGCTCCAAATTTGAATTGGGCAATTCTTCTTTGCTGAGTGCCCAATTTATCCCATGTTCTAGCACTTGAAAGAAAGGGCTTCTCTTTTGCTGCTTTGCCAGGATTGGCCTGTCTGGAATGCTTTGTATATGTTTACATCAAACTTAATCTTTTAACTAAACTGGAACAGCTAGCTCACCAATATCCTACTATTGTGTTATCTTTCCTATAACTTTTTAAAATTTACTTTTCATTTTTACAAATAGAACTTTAGGAAATCTTTACAAAAGTAAGAGTCATTATTTTTTTTTAACTGTTTTTCTGTTCTTGGTGACCTCATTCTGTCTTAAAGGAAAATCCCCTTCAGTTAAAATGATGTGTTTCCCTTAATGTGCTTTAGGAGCTTAACAGTTTTTAAAACATTTAAGTTAATTGTGGGATCACTGTTGGTTTTAGAGCTGCTTTGATTTTTTAATAAAGAGTTGCAGTTTCTAAGAGTAAGTATAAAAGCAGAAGTTAATGATTAAAGATGTTTGAAAAAACAGATAACATATACAGCTATTTTCATTTGTCAGAAGATTTCTCCAGGAATTGCTGCCCCTTTTCTCCCTATTGGAATTTAAATGGCAGCTGTAGAAAACTTGGAGTCAGGAGATATGTTTTAATGTTATGACTCCACTAATTTGCCCTATTTCCTCTGAGCTTCACTCATTTGTATAATGGGTGTGATAAAAAACACTGTAAATTGCCAGTGCTGTTTAGATGGTACTCGACTTATATGGCTCTCCGTATATTCCTTGGCCTTGGCGGAATTAAAGGATTCCCATTCCCTTTTTGAAAAAGCCAGTTCCCAAAACACAGTAAGAAAGGCAGGTAAATGATGGTAATTTTGTCTTTGTGTTTGTTGTCAGCTTACAGTTTGTATCTTTCCAGGTTGATACAAGCAATACTGGAAGGGTATTGGCTTCTGATGCTGCTGCTTTCCTGAAAAAATCAGGGCTTCCAGACTTGGTACTTGGGAAGGTAGTATTTGTTCATTATAACTAGATTATAATGAATATTTAGTAGTGTGGATAAATTGGATGCAAATTCAGAAAGATACTATCAAGAAACTTACAAGTTAGAACTGAGTCATAGAAGCAGTTACAGTAATGAGATGGAGGGGATTGGTGGTGTAGTGATTTACCCTCTTGAAAAATAAGGTGTTTTTCACATTTTTAGAAAACAAATGATATTTTAGTAGGATGAAATGAGGAAGTAATAGCACATTTGGGTATTGTGGGGAGAAACAGTACAAACTGGGAACCTTGCCACCCACTTAGAGAGTTGGCTGTATCCCTACTTCCTCTATTATAACTGTCTCTAAGTGTGTTTAATATGTGGTGAATAGAGTGGGGGATGAGAGGCTTAGGAAAGAGCACAAAGAGGTGGAAAGTCCCTTTCCTGGTTGCGCTGTTGGTGAATCCTTATACACGATATTGATATGTATTCAAAACCCTGAAATACTATCATTAATAATTTAATTATTCAAAAATAAACATTAACTATTTCAACTTGCCCATAAGAAAGAATATCATTTTACTAAAGATCTGAAATCAAGGTAGTATGTTTTAGTAAAAATAGCATTAGATTTGGAGTTAGAACCTAGGTTAATGAAAAAGGCATTGGACTGGAAGTCAGGACTTGGCTTTAGTTCTTTCTCTGATGCCTTAAATGCTCTTGAGTAAGTCAGTTAACTTCACTGGGCCTTCGTATCTATGTGTAGGATTGCACTAACTGATCTTTAAGGTTTCTGTCCACTTCATTCTATGACTCTTAAATCTGATTGCCAAAGAGCATGAGGTTGTAAATTGCAGGGGTTTAATTTATCTTTAAGATTATTTCTGTTTAAAATACAAATTAATACCTTTTTTTCCCCTAAATTTCAGATTTGGGATTTAGCTGACACAGATGGCAAAGGTGTCCTGAACAAACAAGTAAGATTCAGAGATTCATATGAAAATTTTTTTGAGTGATTCAGAATAAAAAATATCCAGCAGTTTTTTGTATTTTCAAACTAAGAATTGCTTTTTTTTACCAGCATTAAGGTTTTGCAAAGTCAAGTGTCATAACAATGAAAATATTTCTAATCAATAGACACTAAAGTTACTAATTCTCAAAGGTTAGTGTTAATTTGGTGACATTGTTCTCCTGGAGTGTCTTAATCTGTTCAGGCTGCTATGAGAAAATACCATTATTAGGCTGGGTGGCTCATAAACAGACATTTATTGCTCATAGTTCTAGAGGCTGGAAGTCTGAGATCAGGGAGTCAGCATGGTCAGGTGAGGGCTCTCTTCCTAATTGCAGACTTTGTTGTATCTGCACATAGCACAAGGTGCTAGGGATCTCTCTGGATCCTCTTTTATAAGGCACTATCCCATTTGTGAGGACTTCCCCTCAATGGCTTAAGCATCTCCCAAAGGCCCTACCTCCTAATACCATCATCTTTGGGGGTTAGGATTTCAACATAAGAATTTTGGGGGATATATCATACAATAGCATGCAATTTTTTTTCAGTCTTTCAGAGAGATTTTGCTCTTTGTATCTTATTTTTTATTATTATTATTATTATTTATTTATTTATTATTATTATTGTTAGTTTCAGGTGTACAGAACAATGCAATAGTTATCCTTTTCACCCTCACAAAGTAACAACCCCCCTCCCCCCATGTTCTTTGTATCTTATTAACACATTGAGAACAGGGCATTTAAATGTTTAGATGCAAATCTGTGTCACTGGTCCACAAAGTGTTAATTACATTTCTTACATGTACAGGGTTTATAAGTAAGCGTGGATTTTATTAGTTAAGTGTTACGGTGGTGTTGCCTTGTACGTTTGAAAGGAAATTCTTGGCTAATCAAACCTGAGTATTCTGCTCTAGGTCTGACAAATAAACCAAAAATAGTTTACAGGCTAGATGTAAACCCTAGACCAGATATACGTGAAAATGGCTATGGGTGTTGAACACCATTAGTGAGTGTACTTTGAAGTTCTGCTTCTTGGGGATGGGTTTCAGAATTCTGCAGGATTGAGTTCAAAGCTTGCTACATGCTGATACATTGATTGATTGAGCACTGCTACTCAAAGCTAATTCCCACCCTATGGGGATAGCTGAAGCAGAATCAAACTCAGGAAAGGGATGATGACAGGGTCAGAATACCCAGTCTCTTAATTAAGATTCCAGGCTTAGATCGTAGTCCCCATTGGAGCTCCTGGGTAGAAGGGCCATTTTGGTACAGTGGAGACATAGGAACACTAAATTCATTTGTGCACCCAGGGTGCTCTGCACTCACTCAGCAGATGTTTGTTGAGTATCTGTTTTGAGCCAGGCTCTGGAAATACAGAGGTGAACATGACAGATGTGGTGCCTATCCTCATGAGTTTACCATTTAATCAGTTCTTCCCTGATAGTCCTGGACTTTGAATGTTGAGTTTAAGTTGTCTTTGTTACATGTAGGTGGCTGGATTTATGCGTCTGTAGTTAAACTTCGATGTTTGTGTTGGAGGAATAGATTTTTAAATTAATATATGAAAGAAAAAAAAAAAAGAAACCTCTACTTATTGAGTCTCTATGTGCCAAAAATGACGGTAGGCGCTTGCCTCCTATTGTATGGTTTTTATTTTGTTCCTCATAATACATTGCAAGGTAGGTATTAGCCCTCCCCCTTTATGGAAGTTTTATTTATCTTGCCCATGGCCTCACAACTTTTAAGTAGTAGAACTAGAATTTATTGAAGGACTATTTCACTTCAGAGCCCAAGTATATTGTGGGAATGGACATGATTACCTAATTGAGTAGTTGAATCTCATATAGAATGAGAAGAGACAGAGGGTTAATGATGGAATACTTAGAATATATTCTAAGATGCCAGCATTTAAAGGTCGGAGGAGGCATTGACTTGAGTAGCGAGAATTAAGGTCAGAAGAGAACTAGGAGAACCAGGAGAGCTTTATGAAGCTATGTTGGCAGAGGGGAGGAGAGCTTCAGGGAAGAGCAGACTTTGCAGCCTGCCAGAAGAACAAATAGGATGGGGCTTTTTTTTTTTTTTTAAGAGTCTATTGTATTTGGTAGGTGGGATGTTATTTGTAACATAGGCAGTAGCTTCTCTAGCTAATGATGGGAGTTGAAGTCAGAATGCGTAAAAACTTGTGGAGTGAATCAGAAGAGAAGGGGAGATCTTGAAATAACATTTTTTCAAGAAATTCCTGAGTGAAAGCAAGATATTGTATAAAGCAGACAAAGTGCAAGTTTCTAAGAATAGATTACAAATTGGGTAAGGAGAGTGTAGGTGAGAATAGGAGGTTTGTGAAAATTAGTGCAGGATTGATCGTATCAGCAACTATACTAGATGGTATTGCAATTTATAACTGGAATAAGGCTTTTGTTCTCTATTCCCAGACCTGACTTTATCTCACAACAGTGGGAAGCCAGTTGCTTCAGCAGTCTTGCATTTATTTATTAAATTTTGTACTGAGAATTCAAATGCCAAAAATCCAAGGACCTTTGGGAGAGATTTATAAGTATTTTGAAGTCAAGCAGTTAAGTAATTGTTTTAGATGCTGTATAGTTATTCTGTATAGCTTTGCTGGAATAGCAATGATTGAGTCACTTGAATGATTGATCCGGTTTCAAAAATTAAAATATTAAATCCAGAGATGACTTTTGGTAACATTGAGGTATTATTTTCTCCTAGGTCTTCTTGTAGATTCTTTTTTCTCATTTAAATAACAAAAAGCATTTCTTAACATTAAATGTTCTTTAAAGCATGATTAATTTTGTTCAATTTCCACCATCCATATGTATCACAATTTATTTTAAATATTTTCCCATTTATATTAACACTTTTTTGCTATTTATAATGTTAGGAATATCTTTGTTCATAGACCTTTTCTCAGTTTTGAAGTGTTTTTCAAGCAAATGTGCTGTTACATTTGTTGCTACATGAAAACCTTGGAATAATTATGAATTCTTTTGTATTTTCAGATTATAAGTATTATATGTGTGTAGATGGATGGATGGATACGTAGATACATGGATGGATAAGTACAGAGATAATGCTCTTATCATTCATACTCTTCTTTCTCAGGAATTCTTTGTTGCTTTGCGTCTGGTGGCATGTGCCCAGAATGGATTGGAGGTTTCACTGAGTAGCTTGAACCTGGCTGTTCCTCCACCAAGATTTGTAAGAAATGCTTTAAAATTTAAATTTTATTTAATTAAAAATAAATGATAACACATGATTTAAAAATTAAAATTACATATATTAAAAAAAATTCCCCCGCCACCCAGCTACCGGATTTTCTTTTTTAATGGCTACTACTGTTACTAGTTTCTTCTGTGTCCTTCCAGACTTATTATATGTGTATATAAAGAAATATAAATACTCATTTCCTCATTTTATATTGTAGCATACTCTCTACACAGGATTCTGTACCTTATTTTAATAACTTAATATGTTTTGGAGATCTCTACATATCATTATATAAAAGCTTCCTCACTCTTCTTTATAGCTGCATACTATTTCATTGCTTTTGTTTACCATAATTTATTTAACTTTCTTTTGATAGGCTTTTAGCTTGTTTCTAATCTTTTATTTTAAAAAAATGCTTCAGTGAATAATAACCTTGAATATATTATATCATTTTGCATGTGTAGAAATGTATTTGTATGTGTAGATTCTCCAAAGTGGAATTACTATTTCAAAAGTTTGTGCGTTTGTAATTTTCACATATAATATCAACATGTCTTCCATAATGGTTGTACTAGTTCACACTCCCACCAGCAATTGGTTGAGTGCATTTTTGCTAACATACCGTTGTCAAACTTTTGGATCCTAGTCATTTTTGATAGGTGACATGTAAGTGTAGTTTTATTTATCCTTTTGGTTTTATGGAATGAGTTTGAATAGTTTTTCTCATGCTTATGATCCATTTACATTGCTTTTATGTGCATTCCTGTTTATAGCCTTTGCTTACTTTTCTTGGGTTTTTGGTCTTTTTTTATTGAATTCTAGAGGCTCTGTATATATTAAGAAAACAGCTCTTTGTCTATATGAGTTGCAAATATTTTTTTCCCAGTTTGTCATTTGTCTTTTGACGTTATGGTGTTTTTTTTTTTCCATAAAAAAGTTATTTTTTTATGTAAATGAATTATTAGGACTAAAAATTTTTCCTGGTTCTTTTTTCACTTTTATGTTAGTTATTCCTGATGCAAGGTATGAGTATGGATTCTAATTTATGTTTTTTCAAGATGGCTACTTTATAGATCTATTGTGATACAGTTTATTGAATAATCAAGATTTTCTTTACTGATTTGAAATGCCATCTCAATCATGTGCTAAATTATCATATGTATTTTGGTTTCTTTCTGGATTTTTCTCTTCTTCCTGTTGATCTATCTCTTTATATGATGGTCTCACATTGTTTTAATGATCAGATTTAGTCATTTGTTTTTATATCTGGTAGGGCTGGTCATCCCCATCATACTCCTTTATCCAGAAGTTTCATGACTCTTTTTGCTTGTTTTTAAATTCAATATTTTAAAAGTATTTGGTCTGAATATTATGAATTTAACTTCAGTTTTGAGGATTTTCTGCACTTGTAAGTTGAGGCATGGAATCATGGAGTCAGAAAGTTAATATAGGGATTCGTTGCCTAACTATATTGTTATAAAATTTTTTCAGATTCTTCTGTCTCTACAAGTAGAGAAACGTGATTACTTAGGCATGCTATTGATAGATTTATGAACTTGTAACTTAGAACTCTTAAGTTCAGTTCTTGTCCCAGTTTGCTTTTCTTAATAGTGTTGGAAAAAGTCACTAGTTAACAGGGCCATAAATATTTTTGTTACCTTCAGCTATCTTTATCTCAGTTGTTATAGGTTTCTTCTAGAATACTTACATATTTTAGTTAGTGCTTCACAATCATTTGTGCAGCTAACTGAGCATGCTAACTCAGTTTTTGTTCGTTTGTACTTAAAGTTCTGATAGAATTAATGTAAAATAGTTAATGTAAAATAGTGTCCTGTGCTCATGGAGATCCAGCATTTTGTATGAATGTATATAAATCCTAAGACCACTTTTGCTTCATTGTTTATTGATACAAGAATTTCAACCCTTGATGTGCTATATTTTCCTTTTTAGCATGATACCAGTAGCCCCTTGTTAGCCAGTGGAACCTCTGCAACTGAGCTTCCATGGGCTGTAAAAGTAAGTAAACTTTGTAACTGTTCTCTCCTTACCTCTACTTTACTTCCACATAATCCTCTCTCCCTACTTCCAAGATATATTGCAATCTGCATAAGACTTTCATTTTTCACTGTTGGGGAAACATTGGGACTAGAAATCTTTGGAGGGATCTTACAGCTTTGCCAGTCATTTTGTGACAATTAATATTGTCTCATTTTGGTTATAGTGTAAACTAAAAATGGTGATGTCATAATCCTGTATTAACTAAAATATTTGATGAATCAGCAGTTTACCCCACTTGTATTATTTCTTGAAAACTCTTTAAATAGATATTCTTTTTATGGCTCTAAAGCAAATAATTGTTTATGAAGTTTTTTTTCTGAAATGGGTATTTTGCTTTCTAGTTATTTGGAGACATCATACTGGCTATAGCTATCTTATCTGATTTTTAAAATTATAATTTTAAAATAGAGTTAGAATATAGCAAATCAAATTATCTTTAATAAATGCGTGGTTTTGTCAGAAAGCCATTTTTGTTTGTATATCTATGTATGCTTGTGTGCTCATAATTTTTAAAAGTAGAGGGATTGGCCTTGACTGGACAAATTATGAACAGTAATTCTTTTTATGTTATACAAGTAACTTGTCAGGATTTTAGAAAATTATTTTTATTGATAAGAAAAAGAAATCTTGCTCTGGGAAAAATGGGAGAAACTTGACGCTTATTCCTACGGTAGTGATTTTCTTTTGAAAATTTGTTTGAGTTTGAAATGTTACAACATATTTAGAAAGTCATAGACTGTCACTAATTAGCTGTGTTCTTATAAAAGTTACTTCCTTGCTGTGGATCTGTTTAAGTGAGAGGGTTAGAGTAGGTGCTCTTCTCAAAGCCCTTCTATCACTGAAATCTATTGATTCTAACCTGACAGTAGAAAAGCAAAGATAATGTCCCAGCTACAAAAGAAATGGAGGGGATACTGAACTCTTGAGTGGAATAACTTAAATTATTATTTACTATGTTTCGATAAAAATGAAAAATGTTTTTCAAATGAGATTTTTAAAAAATACATTGTTCTTTGAGGGCTCGATTTTTATAACTGCAGTTAAATCCTTTTCACTATTGTTTTAACTTGTGATCTTTTTTATATTGCAGTCTGAAGATAAGGCCAAATATGATGCAATTTTTGATAGTTTAAGCCCAGTAAATGGATTTCTGTCTGGTGATAAAGTGAAACCAGTGTTGCTCAACTCTAAGTTACCTGTGGATATCCTTGGACGAGTAAGATATTATTCTAAATGTAATTTTCACGTGTTTTAATTTGTTATCTACCAGGAGCATTTACAGCTCATTGTTAAAAAATGCAGAGATTGTATTTTGAAGTTGTGTTATTACAGATTTTTTTTGTGCTCTGACTTAATATATATAAAACCATTGCCAACTTATTTCTTTATTTGGTTAGTCCCTCTAAAATATGAGTGTTTGAAATTAGCTGTATCTATAAGCCCCTTAAGTAGGTCCTATTTTTCTTTGTGCTGTATGCTCTGACCTCCCAATTCCTTGACTTAATTTCCAGAGACCATCAGTATTTTACACCTGTCACCTACTTCATGGCTGTATCGTAGGGCCTTGTCATAAGGAATAGTTTCATCTCTGAAATCATAAATTCTGCTCTCTAAATAGAACTTGCTGTTTTTCTAGATCTCTTTCCTAGATACTTGCAAGACTAATTCTTTGACTTCATCAAGACCTTTAAATATCAGACTCCTTAACTTTCTCCATCTTTTGAATTTACTTTTTTCTTTACCCAACTTGGGAGTCTTGTGGTCTACAGTGTCATGTTGGTATCTTTAGCACTGTTTACCATGTTTTCTAACTTCTTTCCTGCCTGGTGATAATCCAATGAGCATGAAGCTAATTACCTACCTCCTCTGTGATTGCATATGGACTACTGAGAAAGTCATACAAAGATTGGTATCATCATAATTTCATGATCACCAACTTCAGCTGGGCTTTCCTTACTGCCATCTACTCTTGTGCTGTTTCCACGGTGATGTCTGTCTACCGCTGTTCATATTTCAAACCTTATCCACTCTCAATAAACCTCCAGCTTTTTCTTTAATCAGACTATGTAGTATGTAGGGTCAAATCCTGGCTGCACCACTTCTTCTTAGCCTTGTGACCCTGGGCAAATAATTAGAAAACCATGTCTCGGTTTTCTAATCTTTAAAATGAGTGTGATTCCCAGTTTATAGGGTTGTGTTGTAAGGATTAAATGTGATAACGTATGTAAAATACTTAACATCGTGCTTGATACATACTCTTTGAATGCTAGCTGCCATGATAATAACAACTACCATCACACCACCACTGGATCAGTGTTGTATAGATTAGGTGCTCAATAAATATTAATTTAAAAGCCATTTTCTAGTATTGTTTCCCACTAATCATTTCTCTACAGTGTGGTCAGTGTGAGATTTCTAAACTATAAAAATAATTCTCTTATTTTTTTACTTAAAAGAGGGAAGCTAACCTCTTAGTAGCTTCCCATTGCATTTAGGGTAAAGTCCAAACTTGTGTCACAGCACACTTTTTCTTCCAGCCCCAAGTAAGATTTTGTTACATGACTTAACTATCTTCTTTTCAAGGATTTAACATAGTTTTATAGCTGGTCTAAAGCTTTGGGATTTACTCTAGATTTAGATCAAGTCTACCAGGGCCTTTTAGATTTTTTTTTCCTTTGTAAGCCCTGCACATTAGCTGGTGAATGATTCATAATACCGTATTCATTGCATATATCTTTTAGTTGATTAGAGATTCTGTAGTGTAAGGAAAACATAGTGGACTTAATTGGGTCTTCACATTGAAACTGATTCTGTTGCTTAATAATTGTTTAATGATCCTATTGTAGATAAGTCCTGTAGCCTCATGTCTAAAACAGGATTGATAGTACCTGGAGTTGTTGCATGAATTAACTGAGATGATGTTTGTAAGGAGCATTGTGGTTGTCTAAAGTATTGTATAATTATTTTCTTATTTGAGAGGAAGATAATGTTTTTTAAAAAATCGTAAAGGAATTTCTTTTCTTTTTACCAAAGATTTTATTGGGGAATTGGGGGGAGGGAACAGCATTGGGGAATTGGGGAAGGAAAACAGACAAGTTGCTGTCTTTTTGTTCTTCAGTCTAGTTGTGGAGGACGTTGCTTCACTGGCCCATGTTGGTATTATCATTGCTCTCTTCCTGGGTGAGGCAGATCGGTCGCCTGCCATTGGATGGCCGCTCACGGTGGCTCATGACAGCTCTCGCCAGCTGCCAGCCACTTATGCTGGCTGCCAGCCACTCACAGTAGCTTATGGCAGCCCATTGCAGCCCTACTGCAGCCTACACTTTCGCTGGCAACTCATGGCAGCCCAGCTCTAGGTTGAGCTGTTGTTCAGCATCTTAGCTGTAGAGGGCAGTGTCACTGGCCCATGTGGGATCCGAACTGGTGGCCCTGCTGCTCAGAGCTGGCGCTCCCAAGGCAACTCTTAACCAATGAGCCACCTGGCCGGCCTGAAAGGAATTTCTATTTTAAAAACTACTCAGTATTAAGAATTAGTCTTTTTACAGTAATGTTAGCAGAGCATATAATATAATAGTGATATACTAAAATCAGCATAATTGAAATGTTTCAGAGAAATGGATATTATAATGTTTAGGTGAAACTTTTACCCCCATTTATGTATGTATTTGGTGTATACATGTAGCACATGAAATGAAAGAACATCAATCTTTCTCAATTCTTTTCTTTTTAAGGTTTGGGAGTTGAGTGATATTGACCATGATGGAATGCTCGACAGAGATGAGTTTGCAGTTGTAAGTATCCTAAAGCTCTTAAAATCTTCAATGTTGTAATGATTTTCTCAAGTGAAAATTTCCCCTTTTAGTTCATCCTTCGAGGAAAAACTATGTTCTTTCAAGATGGTTGGCATGAATATTTTTACTTAGAATTTGTAGCTAGTCAATAAATATTTTTAAATGAATAGATAATAAGCAATGTATGTTTTTTGCCATCTTCATTTTATTCAACTTTAAAGTACATACGAATATATGCTTAGGATAATGCACTGTAAAGATGCTGAGTAGTATTATCTTTTGTATCCTAACTTGACAAGTCACCTTAGTCCCTGCTTCTGCTATGGAATAACTACTTCAAATATACCCCCCAAATTTTCATGTTTATTTCATTAAAGGAGAACACAAATAACACTTTAGTTTCACTTCATTTATGTAGGCAGAGAGCTTTGACATCTTAAGACATGTTATCCTTAGTAATTGGATAGTTAATTCCAAATAGAGTTGTATTCATCTCTTCCTTAAAGGTCAGATAAAATTCTGCTGTGAACTTATTAATGGTAAATCTCTAATCCTCCCTTTAATCTCTTATTTGGAAATCAGTCTGTTCAAATTTTCTGTCTTTATTTTGCTAAGGAATTATCCATTTCTTTGACTTTCAAACTTGTTGCCACAGATTTATTTGCATTATTCTTTTAATCTCTTCCTGGTTTGTGGTTGTTTGTACTCTTTTCTCATTCCAAGTCTTATGTATTTTTGCTTTCTCTCATTTTTTGTTTAATTGGATTTTATCTAGCTTATTGCTCTTTTAAAAGAGTCATCTTTTGGATTTCTGTATCCTTTCTATTATGTTTTGATGTTTATTCTTTTTAGCTTTTATCTTAATTTCATCTTCCTAGTTTCTTTTTGTTTACTTTTAAAAAAAATTTCTGAAGATGAGCACTAAGTGCTTTTATGTTTTATTATCTTTAATATTCAAAGCATTTAAAGGACATATTTCCCTCCTGAATACAGGTTCAGCTAAATTCCACAGGTATTGGTACAAAGTATTCTCCTTTTCACTACTTTTTCGATAATTTTTAGTTTTCTTTGATCTTCCGTTTAGGAATATGCTTTCTAATTCCAAAGTAGTTAAGTTTATTTGTTTAGTTTTTGTTACCTTTGTGTCTACTTTCAGCTTGATTAGATTATGACTAGAGAATGTGGTCTTTAAAATATTTACTTTAAAAATTTTGTTGGGCTGGCAGAGTGACTCAGTTGGTTAAGAGCGCGAGCAACAGGGTCACCGGTTTGATTTCCACATTGGCCAGTGAGCTGCACTCAAGCGGTGCTGCTGGTAAGCTGCCAACAGGTGGCAGGCTGGCTCAGCTGGTGAAAGCTCCTAACAACAAGGTTGCCGGTTCAACTCCCGCATGGGATGGTGGCTATGCCCACCCGCAACTAATATTGAACACAGCACCTTGACCTGAGCGGCCGTGAGCTGCCTACAGGTGGCTGGATGGCAACTGGACTTGGGAGCTGAGCTAGCTGCGCCCTCCACAACTAAGACTGAAGGACAACAACTTGACTGTTCCCTTTTCCCAATTCCCCAATAAAATCATTAAAAAAAAAACCTTAACAAAAATTTTTTTTGTTAAGATTTTCTTTGTTGCCAAGTTCATGACCTATTTTTCCATTTTTTTGTCTGTATATGTCAACATTTCTGTTCAGAAGATTTTAGACTTCTATAAATCCATTATGTCGATTTTATTGATTCTGTTTCAGCTTCTCTTCGTTCTTTTCTTTTTTTCCCGTTTCATAAATTTCATTCTGTTTATATCCCAAGAGCCAAATGAAGTAGGCAGAATACATATTAATCACATTTGAAAAAATATGTACAAAAATAGAAACTTAAAGTGATTTGAGTTGATGGCCATAGGTCCCTAGACTTTTTAATTTTAATTTCAGTGATAGTTGGGAAATGGCAGGAGATACCCCTCACAATGGTGACAAAAGTTATCCTAGTTATACCTCAAGAGTTCAATCTATCATTTAAATATTTGTGGGATGTTTTTGGGAAAGGTGGAGTATTGAAGAGATTTGGCTGAGGATGCACTTTGAAATTCTGCCAAACTATTCTATATTAGCTTTTTATAAACGGTTTTTGTGTTTAAGAATATTGGTACAAAATGTTTGCATTGGTATGATATATATAGGGATTTTTTTCTTCTCATAAAGACAAAAATTAAAAATTTAAAAGGAGCATTTATATTAGCATAGTTAAGATAGATGGAGAGTAGTATTATCTTCATTTGATTAACAATAGTATATGCTAAGATAAGTGAATAAAAAGTTTATAGTATATGCCCTGAAGCTTTTTCCTAGGTATCTAACTCTTTTTTTAAAATACAAATAAGCTTTTATTAAAAGAATAATTTGAGAATAAACAACATGTGTGTAGGAAATTACTACTTAAAAAAAAATAGTTGACACCATATACCTTTCCTATGTTTACTAATTTTAACCATTTTGCATGTATGATTTCTTTCTGTGTGCTTTTCTCAGAACTTCTTTACAACTTCATCGTGCTTAGTGCTTTTACTATTCAATTCCAGCTTGTGTGATAGTAATACTGCTTCCACTCTCTTTTTATTTGAATTATAATATTTCTTATGTTTAAAATGTATCTCTTGAAAATGGCACATTGCTGTGTTTCAAATTTATACCTAATTTGACAGTTTTTGTCTTTTAAGATGACACACATAATGGTCTTATTCTCTATACCATATCTATTTATGTTACATTATTTTCTCTTTTTTAATGTTTCTTCTTATTACCAGTTATCAAGTTGTGACTCATTCATTTCCCCCCTCTTATTAATGTGGAAATTCTGTGATAATGTCTTTTCCATTAATGGTTAATGCACCTTTCCCTGTACTTATCCTTACTTCTCCTATATTTGAAGACAAGATTGTTAACCCTCACTTCAGTAAAATGAGACATTTAGTATATTTTCTTTCCCCTTCACCTCTGAATCCCAGAAGACTTTGGGACTTTTTTTGTAACTAAAATTCTAGATTTTACTCAGTTAATTTAGTTATTTTGGTTCTAGTTTTCTTATAGTTTTGTTAACATTAATAGTCTCACTAGCATTCTTTCAGATGGAATTTGCCTGATAGTTCTTCTTTTTACTTTCATGAATGGGGCAGTGTAGTCCATACTATTTTAAAAAATTATAATTATTACAGTATCTAGTGTAACTTAAACTTCAAGTCATTGATTTTTTTGTCTTTATTTACAAACATCGATATTTTTAAAAACTGAACTTTAAGAATTGATCTCACTCGGCTTTGAAAATTGAAATAATTTTTAAAATACTCTTGCAATAGTGGAGTAACTAAGCTCTGAGCATTTGAAATTATCTTCGTAAATAATGCAAAGATAATGTACTTACTCAAATGATCATTTCTTTTGGACTATGATAATTTATACTCTGCCAGTTTTCTGGTTTATTGAAGTATGACAGTTTTTTTCCCCTTATATTTTATTAATTAATCAAAACTGGATTGAACAGGAAAATATATGTTCAAGACTTACCTCTAAAATTCTCACCCATTTCCTTTTGGATTAAATGGTGCTTTTTGTGTGTTTTGAAGACCCAGTATCTACTCTGTGTTTATTTTTTGAATAAAAATGAAATTAATGAGAGATCCTAACTTTTAGGCTTATTGAATAACAATATGGATCTTTTTTTAGAATAACTATTTCACTAATGAACCAAAACTTGATTGAACTTAAATTTTTTTTTTTTTTTT